TCAATCAGAGATCAGAAAGCCACAATTGCTGGGCTTCTATCCCCCACTTCCCTACCAATCTTCTCCATAGCCTTCAGTAAACAATCTCACTGTGAAGGTTTATGAATCTACAAAAATCGGGGTATATTATCCTTTCCACCCTAAAGAGGTAACTGTAAGTCTAACGTTCAGAAAGCCACATCAAATTTTCAGAGAAAAGGCAACGTGCTATTGATTTAAAAGATTTCCAAAACAAAATATAGAACTGACTGATGAATCTTAGTTGTTCATAGATCACCGATTGTTTAAAATTAAGTTTCAACATTTTGCCAGATAGTTTTCTTTTTTTCTAGCATCAAAATTACTTTATTATTTCTATTTATTACAAAATATTGCCTGTGTACTCCACAGACAAGCAGATCTACTTTATATACACAAATGCATTAGTATTAGAGACTGGACTAAGACTACTTCCTAATTTCACACAGGACATGGAAAAAAACCCACAACAACCAATAAAGAAAAGAATACACGTAGTAGCAACAAGTTTCCTTCATTAACAGTGGAAAACTTATTCATATCAACAACTTGAGAGGAGATATTAAAAATGTCCTATGTGAGCCGCTTCTCGGGAGTCTCTATTATATAAACCAACTTTACGACTGATGCAGAGTACTTCATCTACAAATATGGCAATTCTTATTTTGCAAATACATGGACACTGGATAATTTTAAGGATCAAATTTAATGCATGTATAGCTGGGATTTACAAGTGCGTCATTTTGTAATTTCTCTTTGAAGATGAGTCTTACCCATCTTAAGTTGCCAAGTTTCACATATTTTACATCTTATGAACTCAATTTGGCTGAAAAAAAAGAATGAAGTAATGCTCTGTGCACTCAAAAGGATTAAAATTTGGCATGACTAAAGTGAACAGCAGCTAACAATCTTCTAAAGTATTTCACACTGAAAAGTTCATGACTTCATAAAAATGAACTTGTATGCAAAATCCATTGCTACGAGGCCCATACAGAAGTACTGTAAAATCAGAGTTCTTCAACATAGTCTCCTGCAACTTTTAAAAAAATCTGACATGCATAAAAGAATTCGAGTGCTTTGATTAAATGAGTTTGATATATCACTAAAGACAAGTAATAATACAGCCCCAGAAATGATCAACATCAGTAAGAGATAAACGTACAAAGAAGTCATGTGTTATTTGATCTCTACTCCTCTCATAATTTCCAAATTTCACAATTCTCACAGCATCAGCGACCAAGACATTAAAACTGTCATCATGTGTGCAGAAAATTCTCTGTTCTCCAAACTAAGAGATTCTGCTTTGATGTACAATTCTTTATACACACCAACCAGGCTTGAACCAAGAGGCACTTCAAACCAAGCCATGACTGTAATGTTACACAATTCAGATCGGTTCCTGGAGTTCAGAAATCCAGCAAGAATCCCTTAGGTCAGAACAAAAGCAAAAGTGCTAGGAACTAATTTTGAAGTCTATGCCCAGCACATCCTCTGAATTACTTTATTTTTTATATATAAAAAATGATATTACCATAAGGAAGTCATAGTCAGGATGAGAGCTGCTCACTGAGCATTGTATAAAGCAGGGCTAACGACTCTCAATTCTTGAGTGGTCCAGGAAAGAGCAGTAGGATCAGTAATGCTCCACTTAATGGTAGACTAGTGGCAAATGACAGCTGCTTGGAAACTGCAGCATAAGCCCGTAAAAAGAAAGAAGGTAAGAAAAAAGACAGCTAAGCCAAGCAGTAGAACCTCAACAATCCTCTTGTCACACATGGAGAATTATTGCTGGTCAGCAAACACGTCACAGCTCAAGCCACAGCTATGCAACTGCTAAGTAAGCATGAACTTTCTGTTTTTAAGGAAAAGGCAAGAAGCTTAAAAAAATCCACAAAAGAAACAACATCAGCAACAAAAAAAAACCACTCCAGAAAAACTTAACAGATGGTTTCTTTAACATAGGAAACTTTCATCCCCCAAAATTCTGCATCATTTAACGATTTTTGATATTCATAGAATCACAGAATGGTTTAGGTTGGAAGGGACATTAAAGATTATCGAGTTCCAACCCCCCTGCCATGGGCAGGGACACCTCCCACTAGACCAGGTTGTTCAAAGCCCCATCCAGCCTGGCCTTGGACACCTCCAGGGATGGGGCATCCACAACTTCCCTGGGCAACCTATTCCAGTGCCGTACCTCCCTCATAGTGAAAAATTTCTTCCTGATATCTAATCTAAATCTACCCTCTTCCAGTTTGAAGCCATTACCCCTCATCCTATCACTACATGCCCTTGTAAAAAGTCCCTCCCCAGCTCTCTTGTAGGCACCCTTCAGATACTGGAAAGTTGCTACAAGGTCTCCCTGGAGGCTTCCATTATCCAGGCTGAACAACCCCAACTCTCAGCCTGCAGAAGATAAGCGGCTTCTTTTACTTTGGGAGAATCTCAAGTAATATTTTTCAGCACTACAAAGAAAGATAGGGGGAACAAAAACGGAAAGAGTAAGAGAGCAGGAACTACTTTTTCACAGTTAAGTTACCAAAAATCAAAGCAGGAAAACGTGAATGATTAATGCTTAAGTGGAAGTGTTAAGCATAATATTGACAACTTCTTACAGCACATTTTCAGCTGCTCAATGAGTTTCTAAAAATACTCAAGAAAATGGACTATTTATGTCAATAAAAGAGTTATTCTTTTTAGAATTTATAGTCACTATACTGCCTACAAAAACCCATTAGCTTTACAAGTCTCCCGAGTGTCTTTAGCTTCACAAATCTAACTTTGTACTATGGTTTAGCTATGTTCTATGCAATTTTTTAAAAAGTACTTCTGGTTAAAGTAATCTTAAATCTCCTTCTACTACCTCAAAGAAAAAAAAATATTTATATGTACTCCAGAAGAGCTTACCGAAAATAACTTTCACCACGTCAAAGAGAAAGCATTTTTGCATATAATAATTTTTTAATCTCGTGTTTTTAGTGTAAATGTCTTTGAAATGGAAAGTAATTAGCATTCTCACCACAGGAGACAACATATACCAAGTACTGTACTTTGATTTCTTCTGTTGAGATCCACTACATAGCTCAATAGTGAGCAATATGCAAAAAATAATTAAGTTTATTACCAAGCACGCAGTGCTACAAGTGTTTAGCAGACTGATCACAGGATTTTACATCCAAGGTTATTTACTATTCCTGTGCTCTTTTGAATAACCAGGCTTCTGACACGCTAACATATATTTATATAATAAATAAATAGGGCTTCATTCAATCACAAATACATTCTCATACCCTCAACTGAATCAAGTATCTTTATGCTTTCTTCCACAGTGTTGTCGTAGTTGTGTAACAGTTGCATATTCTGAAATACATAAAGACTCAGATGTGACTATCACCTACCACGCAACCCATTTTTAAAGCCTTCAACAAACCAAGCTGACATTTTAATCTCACAGTTTAAATGGAAGAAAACAGGATGCATTTAAGACAATTTTTTGACCACTGGGTGCCACTCTTGTTCTGTATAAAACAAAGTGCCTCACACTAACTCAGTCTATTTTTTTTCCCCAGCTTTAATCAACTCTAATTCTTCTAAAGTGGGAGGAAAACATGCAAGAATATTTACACAAGTTTCTATAAAACACTTAATATTTTCCAAAACTCTTTACTGTAGCTTCTAGCCCCAAGAATGCAATTTTGAGAGAAGTTCAGTGCACACAGACCGTTATGGTACGCGAAGGATTTTTTTTTAATGGTGAAGTTATGTCATAACCTAGTTATGTTATGTCTAAATCATCACATTCAAAGTAATAGGTATCTACTGCAAACGTGCAGCCCTGTAGCACTGTATTGCCATTGCTACTAACAGCTTCATATTGAGTTTGCAAAGCCTCAAGACTGAGGCTTTGAGCAAACTTGTCAGGCTCTGAGCTTTTCTTGACCTGCCCGAAGTTTCTTTCTTTAACTTGGTGCAGTTTTAACAGCATTTTTTGTAACTGACCAGGTGTCTGTAGCTAACTTGGTTTACTTTTGTTGATCTTTGTATGGTACAACCATAGTTGTACATAGATAGCAGTAACAAGGAGTTATTCTATGCAGAACGAGGTATTTTTGACTAACACGACGATGCAGTGTATAGAAACAGAAGCCTAGTATGAAAGCAGACACCTTGAGCAGTGACAACACAGAATGAGGCATACAGAAGTACAGCCATGAGATTACATTCTTAGATTAGACTGTTAATATTTCGATTATAGTAACAATTAATTCTTGTCTGAATATTTAAGGTGAGTTTCATCCTTGTCCAAAAATTGAGTGTAACGCTATCCTGTGCGCTTTATTTATCATATCAAATAATCCCATATCAAACATCATTGCAAGCATATGTATGTTACAGTCCTATTGTTTAATATTATTCCTTACATTTCATAGATGGGAACTTGAGGGACAAACTAAAAAGCACTCATAAAAATGAATATAACTTATGATGGAAATACCAATTCATCAGCCCAGCTGAGAAAACAGGGAGGTCAGAGGCTACAGTGAACTTTACAATCCCATTATCCACCACAGCAGCCTTTCAAATGGCACAGGTGTCTTTCCACTGTGTTGTGGCCCCAAAGTATTGGCTTCTGTGACTGCAGTGTTAGACCAAAAAATTCTCTGAAGCTATGTAAAAAGTGGGATCGATCAGGGAGAAGCACTAAATTATTTAGTCCCGGGCTAACATCCTGAAGAAGTTATCATTATGCCTCCTATTCTTACTAAATAGAGAATTTCATGTCGTACCATTTATTTAATTTGTATTTCAAACAATACAACTAGAAACCACTTTTGCACTATCATCTTTTACTTCAATAGATGTCTTTTCCCACACCCCTGTCATTTCATTGCTCTGCTCTACAAACTGTTTTGATAAGAAAGAAAAACACCCCGTAGAGTCGCAGTCTATGCATGGCACTACTGTAAATTCTTACAAAATACCTGTACTCAGGCTGCCGACTTATAGGGTGATCATCCCTTGGCCATCTGTATCCTGAGTCATCCTGCAAAACATACATGCAAAACAATTGCGTGACGTGTATCTCAACATCAGACGTGATGTACAGTTAGTTGCCAAATGGTACTTGTTTACTGCAAAACCAAAGCATTTAATGAGTTAAAATAAACTATTATACATTCACAGCAAAGTTCCTCTCAGTCTACTCACTCTACCCCATTCCTCTTATTTTCTTCCTCTATTAATACTAAAGAGAGCATCTTGGAAACGCTGTACGAAATACAAAATCTACAAAAATTTCCAAACTATATACATAGGCCCTGACTTAAAAAAAAAGAAAATTTTCCTCATTGAAATGCAAATTATCATCACTAGCTTGAAATTACAGAATTTCAAACAGCTGGGTTGGAGGAGGCAGTAGTAATGACCTTTCAAAGGGAACATAAATTTTGTACTTAAGTGTAGAAAAAACTGGAGAAAAAAAAATGCATTCAACATCACGACAGAATTTAAATAAGCAAAGAACTGTGTGAATCAGAAGGATAGGTAGACAACATTCAACAAGCTGTGAGTGCAAGGACTAAACAGAAAGATTTTGCAATCATTCTTCTATTCATACAGAGGACTTCTGGCCACTTTTGTTTTCCAAGTTCAGACTCTGAGCTTTCTACAGAGCTGGACAAGGGCACTTTTCTAAGTCAATAGAGTAGCTAGGAACCATAAGAAGCAGAAAACAGGCATTACCTGTCTTAGAAGTCTTAGAAGCACAGTAACTGCAAAAAAGCAGCAAGTACGAAAACCTAGATGCTTTTTCTATTCATTCTATTTCAGTTTATGAGAACAATAGTAACAGCAATGTTCTGTCTGAACTAATAGTTCAATTGTTCAATATTCAAGCATTAATAAGAAGATAAACATCATAAAAATGTGAGAAGAATCACCTTACGTACACCTCGGTGCGGAGGGCCGCTTCTTCGTTCATGGGCAAAACTGCGACCCTCTTCATAGTCTCTGTACTCAGCGTGACTGTAATCATCATACCGGCTGTAATTCCCATCCCCAGGTCTTTCGAGCAGTGGTGGTTTCTTGGGCACAATGTTTACTACTCTATGGTAATCATCCTAAACCACAAAAAAAACCCAAAATCATATCGCTTTGAACAGCTGGAAATCTGTAGTAAATACAAAAAAAGTAAAAAACCCCACCAAGCCATTTCTAAATACAGGACTATAATAATTATAGAATGGTTTAGGTTGGAAGGGACCTTAAAGATCATCTCATTCCAATGCCCCTGCCATGGGCAGGGACACCTCCCACTAGACCAGGCTCCTCAAAGCTGAATAATTTTAAAGCTGAAATAGCACAGGGGAACAAAAAATATTAAAAATCATGCCAATCTGATGGTGGAATAACTTATTAAATCTAATTGGACACAATTCTGATGCAATCCTTAGGCATTACAAATTTTATTATTAGGAGAAAATTTTCAACACGGTTTAAGTTTCTTTTGAAAGTTTAAAGCAGTAGCATCAGCTACTTTCAAAGCATCAGCTACTTTCTTTTTTTAAGCATTAGCTACATATATTTCTCAGAGACTTGTACATGAACTTAGGAATTCAATAAAGAAAGTTACATCTATAAGCCTGTAAAACAAAAAGCCCGTTTGAAAATACCAACAATTTTCTTAATGTCAGTAACATCCTCCACACTATGGAGACTATAGTGAAGACGGTCCTTGCTTCATAATCTGAATAGATAAACACCTTCTCAATGCACTGCAGTAGGTGATCTGAGGATTCAGGTGACAGAGTTTTAACACTCTCCTTTTCTTTTAACACAAGTTTCAGATAGCATTTTGCTAGAATGTAAAATTAATTTATTGTATTTCCTTCATATAAAACTTCATACAACGTTTACCAATTAAGGAAATCCTTTGTTTATTAAGTGCAAATTGGACAGTTGCAAAAGATACCTTTTTGATTTTCTAAAACCAAGCATTATATAAGCCAAATGAAAATAAAAAGCAAAGGAAAATATGAATGCAAGATCTTGTATTTTAAGTCTTCTTCCTTTAGCAAAATATTTTTTCTATGGGCCTTAAAAACACAAGCTATAAATGCAGAAATTTGAGTCAGCGTGTGCAATTTGGAGGTGGGGGGAAAGGTACTCAAGCTAGTTTTTTTAATAGTAGGAGAAGCCACAGTCTAATACACCAATACTTTTCATAGAAAAATACATTACATTCACAAACTGTTAAATATTATCATGCAAAAAAAAGCTAGTTCTGATTTCCGAGACCACCCAACAAACTCACTAGAGGGCAATCCAAAGCCAGCCTACCGCCATACTGATGCAAAGTAGAGGCTACATATACATTCATACACAGCCACAATGCTTGATCTACCTTCACTTCACTGAACATTCTCCACATGTTGGGTTTGGTTTTTTTAAGTTTGATGTCTTACAAAGAAGATCTGCTCTGAAGCTAAAACAAAACTGCTCCGTGCTTTAATCTCACCCACAAGTCCCCATCACTTAACTATACTGACACACAGAAGGACAGTTACATGAAAGCTCAAGGTGTACCCAGGTGTACCCACTTAGAGTCAATTGTGCCAAGTGCTTGCAACTTTATGTTGTTTGCCAGGATCTGAAAGCATGTGTTTCTACTACAATCTATACTTGATAAATAATTTGCACCTGGTTTAGCGTAGGACAAATCTCTTGCTCTCTCAAACAAGAGATACGTCATTCTATATCATTGGCATGTGTCACTTCCAATGTATTAACCTATCAGCAAATGTTGAGCATGTTCATAGATTGAATAAATTAATTCCATTTTACTTGTCTAGTCAAAATTAAGTCAGACCTCTATAGGTAGACACAAATACAATGGCATAGGCTTACAAGGACAAAAACTGTCTGCCAGCTATCTTGAATCAGCAGAGCTGTAGGAGAAGGAGCTTCGTATCCATCTTTCAGTAAGACAGAGAGACACCAGATCTTGGTTTGCCCAACTACTAGGGGTGTTTTGGTGCAGATAGATCGTACTGATTGTGATAAATGAGCGTATTCTGCTAGTTCCTTCATCCCCAGTTCCAAACACATGTAATAAAGCTAGCATTGAACTATCTACTTAATTCTTGCATCAAAAAGAGTGCATCACTTCTTTTAAATTGTAAAGTAAATTTTCATAATGCATACGCCATGCGTTGCTCCCTGGACAACTTGAAAGACTAAAAGAATTTAGGAATGTCACTGTTGCAATGGTTAAATTAAATTAGCAATGTGTTAATCAAGTCAAACATTGATTAAAAAAATAAAAATCTGTGAAAATACATTCTGCCTTTCCTCGTGTCCTACTGCTGATAAATATTTTGGAGAAGCATCTGACTAAATACCCTGTGTAAACTTATCTGATTTCCATTTTGCTGAAAATGCAGAAATTTTGTTACCTGTAAAAAGAGTTAAAAATGTCACAGAGCAGCCAAAGACTAATACACTACTCAATAGAGAAGACTATGTAACTAGTTACCAATATATCAACACTGGTATGCTTCCAAAATGGCAAGCTCAAAATACGGTAGAGGAAACCCAGAAAATATGCTAAATCAGCTATGTTATTATTCGAATATTTAAAAAACAGAAAAGCCAGATAACAGGCATAATTACATGAAATTTTATTTTGCCATATGTACATTGTACAGCATGTATATAGAAACATCAAAAAGTATTCTTAAAGTTCTATTTAAGTTGTAATACTTCAAAGGATAAAGCTACAACCTGTTTTCTTTCTTCTTTAGAGAATTCAGACACAGGAGAAAAAAAAAAAAAATCATTTTTCCCAAGTCTTTGGCCCAGAGTTTTTCTAAAAGCATTCTAAAGTTATTCTGCAGCAGAGTAAGCACAGCTTCTGTGTTTGTTTTGCAAGCATAACATAGAGTAGAAGTCTCCATGTCTACAAAGCAGATTTACATCGAAACTCTTAGAATCATTCTATAATTCAGGTTGGAAGAGCCCTTGAAGATCATCGAGTCCCACCCCCCCTGCCATGGGCAGGGACACCTCCCACTAGACCAGGTTGCCCAAGGCCCCATCCAGCCTGGCCTTGAACACCTCCAGGGATGGGGCCTCAACAACCTCTCTGGGCAACCTGTTCCAGTGCCTTACCACACTTAAGGTGAAAAACGTCTTCCTAATGTTTAATCTAAACCTGCCCTCTTCCAGTTTAAAGCCATTCCCCCTCGTCCTGTCACTGCTCTTCTTGAAAGCATTTTCCTTACAAGGCTCCAAAACACCGTTTCTTTAGCAAAGATGTATTTTCAAGTTCTGTTATAAACATTCCCTTCTATACTTTAAGCTTCATAATAAAAAACTGCATCGGTGACAAGAACAATACTGCAAGTAGTCATTTTACCACTGCAAGTCACTTCAGAAATGTATTAACATAAAAAAAAAAAAGTCTGGGGAAAAATATAACATAGTATGGCCTTTGGTTCTCCAGAAGTTATTAAAAATCCTGTGTTTAATAACACAAAGAATTACACCAAAAAAATCAATTTATCAAAATGCAAATATTCTAAAACACTTTCAATAGATTTGAAAAAAAAAAAATACAAGACTTAATTTCATAGGCATCCTATTATCTCTGTGCAGAAGCATTTGCTAAATTATTGGCTTAAATGAATGAGAAAAGAATGGAACTTAAGGGTATATTAGGAACTTAAATATGTACATGAATCCTGCCCTTATGGTATAAGTAATGGCATAAAGGTATAACATAATGGTATAATGCTAAAGAAACATACTATACACTTACATCAGGATGAATCCTTGGAGGGAGACGTTCTCTCGGAACTCTTTCATAGTCATATCGCCCTTCAGACCACATTTCATCCCTTCGATATGCCACTAAAGACAATAAAAATCTAATTAGCTAAAACCAGACCCATTATGAATAGAGAAAGGATAGTGAGCATGCAAATAAAGGTTCCTGGACTTTTCCCAATATAACATATTAGGCACAAGCCCTGTATGTACACTTTTTTTTTTTAATTAGCTCTTAGTAAGTCTATCTAGTTATACAAAGTAATTAATGAACTTCAAGTAAAAATAGCTCACAGTATGCGCAAGAACAACTGAACAAATGGAAATTCATGCTGTATAATCAGTATAATTACAGGACTTGCAGATACTATAAACAGCTCCACTGAAATATATGCATATCACAAATGCCAGCTGTACATATAAATTCATACACACATACCTTACAGAAATTTTGATATTACTTTGCTAAAAATAGGGGACTCTTTTTTTAAAAAAAAAAAAGTTCAACTCCTTTATTAGATTGAAGAATTTCTACTTTTTTATATAATATAATAACTTTGATTTATTTCATCATCTCAACCATTTGGAAAGAGGTTAAAACACATCATTCAGTTAGTACAAAACTCCACGTTTTGAGTACTTGAAATGAATTCTTCACGTACAGATTTTTCCTGATTTAAATTGGGAGCCAGCAGAACACAAAAATTCCTCTTTTCAGAGAAAGTTGACTTTCAAAGTCAAAATTAGTAACTAAATACAGGTGGAAATAAACCATGACCGTAAGAGATTCTAGTCATGCTATGTTAAGACAACACAAACTTGAGGAGCTGAAAGCTTTCTGATGATTATAAAAGTGACAAATTATATCGTTGAAAAGAGATAAGAAATTGCTACAATTATCTTTCTCAAAGTTTCCCTTCACAATGGTAGTTCTAGCTATTAAAAATAATCCATAAGAAAAAGAAACAGCAGGACATATTCAGAAGGAGAAATACATAACATTATCTACTTTCACAAAATAAAAACACTTAACTGGAAATAGACTTATGAGGCTATATAAAAATATTGATTATTACAGGTGTTATGAATCAGCATGACAAAAGGGTTTACTAACTGTAAACAGACGTAACACTAAGTCAGATATACATTTTTGTGAAAAACAACGAACACTCGCATACTTTTTTGTCAGTTTTAGCAACTCAGCTTCTGAAGACCCATTCAATTACCTACAAAAAAAGAAGAAACTGAAGTTAGCAAAAATTGCACATATGTTCATAAGTACATTTTTTCCTTTTACACAAACCAGACATGTAAAACCTAAATCTTTCAACTGCCTGTCCCCCACGATGTCTGAATTAATACAGAGTAATTCACTACACTCAATTAAAGAAGAATATGAACGACTCAACTGAATCCACAACATCAAAAAACTTCTTGTGACAATATACTTTCCTAAAATATTCAGAATTTTCTTTCCTTTTTATCATCTTTTACTCAATATCTCAGGTCTCAGTTTTTCTTCCATTTGTTAGCAAAAGCTTTTGGAAACTACTATAACTGCTTTCTTAAAACCACTCAGAAAAATATTTAATATATTCACTTAACTTTTTTTTATTTATTTAACTGTCTTTCAATATCATTAAGTAGAGAAAAATAAGACTCAGTGACATGTGATGAGAGGTTAATGAAAAGTTTGTTTTAACAAATTATTTTCCTTTGGTAATAGATAATAAATCCTGATGAAGTAGCTCTTTCCTCAACTGTAATAAGCCTTTATATTCAGAGATTTTGACCCTACCCTTGGTAGAAACCAACCAGAGTATCTTAAAACTTTGTTCCAGTTTGTAACAGACTTGACCTTAAGTACGATCCATAACCAAGGCACAGAACTAGTCTGATGTAGCCACAGATTATAAATCAAAAGCTGACTAAACCAACAGAGTTTGGTCGGTCCTGATTTTGGTACGCGTAAGAGCTAGAGGGTTTGCTGTCCCTGCCCTCGCCAGTGTGCTCCACCTAGCAGTTACTAACTCTGAAACCACTGCTCATACTGCTGTATTTGTTGGTCAGGCATATCCATCAGAAGCACCTTCCTGGCGCTTTCACACTAACTGCCTCAACTTTTCTTCATTCTCTACTACAGGGACTTCTGCCAAAGCCTTAAAAATTCACATCAGGGGCTACACATGCATTAACTGTTATCAGGCTGACCCTGTGCCCTCTCCATCCCACATCACCGGGAGGGTGCTCTATCTGCTCTTACACTGTCCCCACCATTCTCTTTTCTTTGTATCTAGAACAGTACCTGAAAGCTCCTGTGTTTTACGTGCAGCACGAGAGACAGAATCAGATGAGGCAAGACAAAAATCATTACACTGGAACAGCATCATGCGCTCTTTCTCAAAACACTTTGCTGCTGGTCCCTCATGCCTAGCCCTCGCCTCAAGGTGCACCATTCCTTCTGTCCACACCCGCTCACGGCTGGTGAGTGCCTGAGCATCCTGTGGTACCCACTCCCACCCCTGCTTGCCCACAGCCCACCCACCTCTCACAGGCGCATAGACTTCGGTACCCGATGGGGAGCCTCACGCAGCTTTTAGACCAACAGCAAGTATCAGAAGCTGGATTCGGACAAGGTTTTCAAGTGGTTTTTTTTTTTTGCATTTTGACAAATACAGTAGTGTCCACACCCTACTGTCTGCAGTTACTGAAATTGTTAACTGAACACAATGTCCAAAAAGCAACACATTTCAGGTAAGTGCCACTGAAGCTAGGTGGAAGCTTTCACATCATGCTGCTCTGTCAGTCAAACCACCTCCAACGTCCCAACACACATCACTGGCAGTAGCCACCAACATTCATATACACGCTTTGTTATATTATCAGCCATCAAGACTGATAAAAACATTCCCATTTTTAATCACTATTGATGGACCTCACTGAAACCAGCAAAAATTATCACCAGTACTTTGACAAGACATAAACACAAGCTGGAAAAAAAGGTAGAGAGAAACTATCACAAAAGCCAACAGACTGAAGGGGGAAAAAAAATACACAACTACATCAGACAAGAAGTAAGTATGAAGGTGGAAGAAAAACCTCAGAAGTAAGAATACTTTGCATTTAGAGGAATGACATGAAGAAAATTAATTAGATGGAATTGATCATCCAGTTCATTCCTCAAAATGCTGGTAAGGAACAAAAAGTAGGAGGAGACCAATTTTATATAGAAGACTAAACAGACAGATTTTAGCTGGGACCAATGACATAAAGTAAGGATGCATTTGAAAGTAACAGAAGAAAAAAACTGTTTAAAGGGAAGAAAATGCATTTCCCAGCATCCTGAGCACATTTCGTCTGTTTCTATAGAAAAAAAAATCCATTTCTTAAATTATGTGACTTAACACATCTTTAATAACAACCATGAAGAGACTAAACTCTTGGGATCAATATGAGAAGATTCCATTAATAAGGATTCAAGAGATCAAACCTCAAGTTTACTACACTGTTCAGATTCATCCATCCTCTCAGTACAAAGTTGTTCTAAAACAAAGACTGAAAACAAATAAATGTTTGTTTCACACCTAACACCATCATCACCCACATTGCTGTATAAGCTAACAGAAAATAGTCAAAGGTAGTTGTTGATATTTCTTTAATATCATGATATATAATCTCTTCCTATATTAATTTAAACAACAGGTGACTGTTTTCCCTAAAGCAAGGTCTTTATTTTCTCAAATAAAGACACTCCAGCATACACAAAAGCTATACTATTAACACAGCATGAGCTGCTCCACTGTGGCCAGGTGCCAAGAATGGATTTGCTCCGATTATCACAGCACTGTGTCTTGCTCTGTTAGTAAAACTGATGTAATATAAAAAGAGTTTCTTCATCAAGCAGATTACACGGGTCACTTAAACCTTAGGGGGTTTTGTACAACTGGGTTTTCTTTATCAATCATTAAGGTTTTATTCTTTTTTGCTTTCTAAATATATATGCTAATAAAAAGCTGACACATTTGCAAAAGCACTCCAGTATTCTGCAATATTTTGTATACAACTCATGTCTGTTTATATTTATTTGCAACATCAATTTTCATCACAGCTAGAAATATCTACTTCTCCAGGATCCATAATTTTGCAGTGTGTGCTATCAGCCTTCTGCAGAATCTACTGTTTTGTTTCAAAAACATACAGCTAACCCAAATGGCTACATCTTGCCGTATGTGAACAATGCATAAAACCAATGCTGTGCTGTAAATCCAAAGGCAGGCAGCTGCAGTATCTCTGATGCTGCTGGAATAGATCTGGTTTTATACTGCTACTTTGACAAACAGCAGAGACTGACAAGCATGGGCCAGTTCTATCTCTCCTTTGCTTTGGAAAGCTCTCAAAGAAAGCTTAGACACTTTTGTATGAGTAAGACCTAGAGAATTGTACCTTATTAGAAATATTATGGCTAATTTTGCAACAGTTGCTGCTTTGAGGACACAAAGAATGACAGAAAACACCACTTTTGCTTTCAACAATTAGAATCTGTATTTGATAGTGCTTCAAAGATATTCTAATATCTCTTACCTAGACCAGAGGCAAGACAGATAAAACTGATAAAAAAAGTAACTTTCTCCTCCTCCCCCCATACTTGGACAGGCAGAAAACACCAAGTAGACATAGTCCTCTATTATTAAGATGAAAAAGCAAAAGTGCAAGAGCAGAGGGAAAAATCTACCATGACACTACATAAAATACTGTGATGGAGACATTGAGAAAAAACAAAGGTACAAGAGAATCCATCTCTTCCTAATAACAAATATTAGGCTCTACAATTTTGAAAAGCAATTAAAAGCATGACTGCAACAAGTCTAGGCATAGTCAACCTAGTACCAAATAACCTGAAGGAAAAGGCTTTCTTCCAGTCTTTCCTGACCTGTTCACAATAATTTTGACTTAAAATAAGAGAAAAAAAAAAGAAAAAAAATTCTTTACAAAAGCACCAATCACAAAGGTCAAATTAACTCCCACCTCAAAAACCAAAAAAAGCCAGAAATGCATAAGCTGAAT